TTGGCTGGACAGCATCTATCCTTTATTTGCCTGGCAAACTTCTCAAACACTTCAAACGCAGACCAGATATCACTTTGTCTGTGAAGCCGCCTCTGCCCACCTCAGAGAGTTCCAATCCAAGCAGAGTCCTCTATGCTATATAATTCAGAGAAGTATCTACTAGCTCTTTTGCTCACATACCCCAAAACAGTTTTTGAAAAATGGTAGACTCCCTTACTCATTTAAGTCTATAAAATTTTTTATATTCTAAATAGTTGCAAAAGGTAACTTCCAGCATATTACAGACTTCTTAAACAACTGGACACTCTTAAATATCTCCAATGAAATCTATATCCTACAGTAATAATCAAACATAGCAACTACTTAAAATACATAAACAAGCTTTTTAAATACTTAAATCAATTTTATTGATAACCCCATCATATTACACCAAAAATATGTACACATACTGACATTAATCACAGGCCCTTTATTTTGGATTATTTTCAATTGGTTCATGGATAAATACCATGGATAAATTACAAAGTTCAGCATTAATTTTATTTCTATTCTGTTTTTATATGTCTTAAGTGTCAAGAAATCATGGTCATATAAATAGGTAGATAAGAAGTGATCATAACCATGCCATGCAATTCCCTGAACTCCTTTTGAGTTGTTCTATCATAGAAAGTACTTTCAATGATCTATTAGCTGACAACTCAATTAATTATAACTTAATTTTGTTAAGAACAAAGTATTAATTAGAAACCAGGTGACATGCAAGAGGATTTGTTATCTAGTTATGATTCACATTCACAACGTTCATATTCACAACACTAGTACCCATTCAGGTCCATGATCCCTGATTTGCAATTCTGAAATTATTACTGTAAGATTTAATAAATTTAATTTTTAATTTAATAAATTGTTACTATAAGACTATTACTGCAAGATTTAGATTTCACTGGAGAGATTTAAGAGTGTCTAGTTGTTTAAAAGGAGCTCTGGTAGTGTAGTACCTAAGGCACTTGACTGCTAACCAGAAGGCTGGCGGTTCAAACCCACCAGCCACTCCTCGGAAGGAAG